GTCTTCACAGAGCGATATTTCTCGTTATTAACATGCAATACCTAGCAATACCGAGCAATATCGAGCAAATACCGAGTAATACCTCGCAATACACGAACATAGCATTCTCGGGTTCCGGTTCGAGTCAAGTTGTCGGGTCGCGCGGTAGAGAGTACGAGCACGTGGCGACATGTTATTGACGGCCAAACGTAGCTCTACGTCCGGTCAGATGACGTAATAATTGTTCCCTTGCATGACACTGACAACTCCTACATTTAGATCCTTCATCTTGATGATTTGATTTTTGTGGAGATTATTTATCTTAATCTCTTTTGTCGTTTAACTATCTGCCTTTGTCATTATTTAATTTAGAATAGTTATCATCGCAATATTATTCTCATTTTTTTATGATATTTTAGAATTTGTAAGAAGAGCCTTTCATAATTAATGTAATAAAAAATTATAAAAAAAAAAAACATATAACAAATTTTAATCAGCACTAAAGAGTGTCTGGTCACCCCTTTCTAAGCTTTGAGGATCTAGCACATCCTATCATGAGGATTCAACAAATAATGCTTTAAGAATTTGGCCTCCATAACTCTTATGATTTACTTAATTTTACATTATCACAAAAAGTAAAATATGTTGATAAGTTTATAAGCATTACGCAATTGATCCATTATAATGAAATACAAAATTTTGCTTCAAATTATATATTTTTCATTTTATTTTGTTAAATAATAATATATTTTTTTCATAAATCTGACCCTCTTAAACGACAAGATGTTTTCTCCCCTGCATGTTCTAATCCTATTTGTCATTGAAAATTTTATTAATGATAGGTTTGTGCATGCTAAGATGGATTGCATTCCTGGGAATTAGGACTTTATAGGTCAGGCTTTGTCGAAGGCATATGCACTTTGCATCAAAGTGTAGGAGTATTTGGGTCATGCAATGGCTGATACTTATACTAAGCATTTATGAGTCAAATTATGGAATTATGGAGTTTGGTTGCAACTTATGTGCATATAACCCACATTAAGACCTTTGAAATTTCGGCACTCATTCCATGCATGCATGTACTTCCATAAGCATCAATAATAAGTCTCATGATATTGGAAGTGTGTGGCTCTTACAAAATGCAAGTTCATGGGTATTGCACTTTGGCAAAAACTTGTTGTTTTATAGGCACTTTTGCTAACATTGTAATAGATAAGCATATGAGCAATATAATTTTACATGTGCTTGTATTGTCGGCATGCTTTTGAGGACTTATAAAAACCATTCTTTAGGGACTGAAGGGAAATACCCTTTCCCTCCCACCTTGTTTTACTCTACGACTTTATCTGTCCTTCCATTCTCCTATTTTTACGCATATGGTGCTTAGACACCAAGGTGATAGCAACAAGCTTTTTGGATAAAGAATCTCTCTCTCTCTCTATTATATATTTGACAGCTAGAAGGTTGCACATTCAACTCAGAAACCCTTTAGTATACTACTTATATTTGGATGTTTAAGGTTACATTGATGAGTTTTGGGAAATGATGAATAAACTATAATTTCTTGAAGTTTTTTTTCTTAAAATGATGAATAAACTATCATTACAGTTAAAGATAGATGATGCATTTATGGATTTCTTCAATGAATTGATAATCAAGGGCAAACAAACTTTGCTTCAAGCAAAAAATATTACTTTGGTGATGTTGGTCTAGAAGAAGTCTTTACTTTTATGGAAATATCATATATCAAATGATTTCATTATTTATTTCCTAAAGAAACAAAGAGGGCATATAAGCTCTGTGTTAGATGGTGATGATGGGCTTAAACTGAAAGATATTCAAGAGTATGATGGGCTTAAAGGGTCTCAATTTTTTCATATTTTGATTTGATATATAAGAAATATCATGATAATAATTACCATCATTACATGGTTATAGCCAAAGTTCTTCTTTTTTTTTTTATTATTGACCATGTTAATTTTGTGTTATGGCTATAAATATTCTCACATGGTTGAAGGGAATTAAGGTTCATTAAACAAAAGAATGATTGAAGCCAAAAGAAGGGCATGATACATGAATCTTAAAAGTCACCTTAATCTAGAAGAAGAACATATTGGCAATGAGTATAAAGAGATTTTCTATGAAGGAGTTCAACTGTTCAAGAATGATTATTTTCACCTTAAGATTAAGATGGTTTATCTTTAAGCTATGTAGAGGTAGGGAAAGTGTAAGGAATTATTTAGCGAGTAAAAAAAGTTTTTTCATAAAGTATTATAATTAGAGGCGGAATTAGCCTTAATTTTTAGGGGGTCAAATTTATAAATAACATATTTACATAATGTTTAATTCTGCTAATGGGGGTATTGTCTAAAGATCATAGTATTTTAATTTTTTTAGGGGGTGGGGAATTGCTGAAAAACCCTTGTAATAAAGAATAAAAAAAGATGGAGGGAGGCAAATTACTTAAATATTCATGTACTAAAGAGTTTTTTAATTTTTTAGGGGGTGCAATTGCCCCGGGGGCAATTGGGGGATCCACCTCTTATTATATTAATAAGAATCTCCCCCGTACGAGAGGTCAAATATACTCGCCACCCTTTTTGGGGCACATACGAAAGAATCAAATATCAAATTTTTATGCCTACCAATAAATCAATTGGGTTGAATCTCGTACAAATTGTTCGCGCACTCTTTAATTTATTAACGCCCTATTTGGCATTTGATTATTATTATTATTGTTTTTTTTTTCATGCTTCAATTAATCCAGTTGATTGTAAATAGTCTATAAAATATAAATTCAACATATCCTTCAAAAGATTGTAGTTAACTAGGTGATTTAGAATAGGTAGAATTGAGCTTGATTTGCTCAACTTAGGATTCGTTTGAGACAACTACAGTTTTTTGTAAAGGTGATTATAAAATTGTTGTAGATAAAGTAACTTTTTTAAAAGCTGTTGTACAAAGCAGCTTCCAAGCACAAAAATTTCCTAAAAGCAATGAAAAATAGTGATCAAACAGAAACTACAATTTTGGTCTCAAAAACAAAGCATAGAAAAAGCTGCCTCAAACAAAGGCTTGGGCGAAGCCTTGGGCTACGTTTGGTACAGTTTTCTGACTGCTTTTAAACTAGTTTTTTAGTACAAAAATTTATTGAATTGGAATTTTTATACTAAAAAACTGCATTTAAAAGTAGTATGAAAGTTGTCTCTGGCGTTCTCCAGATACGGTCCTTCCGACCACTATCACCTCACTACAGTCTTTCCAACCTCCGTCCCCCGCCGACTACAGTACTTATAACCACATCACCCGACTATGATATTTTTGTCCTCTATCGCCCACAACTACAATCCTTCTGCCCATCGTCGCTCGATTAAAATGTTTTCAAGCTCCATCACCCGACTACGATCCTTCTAACCATTGACGCACGACTACAATCCTTCCGACCTACATCGCTAGTTGACTATGGCCATGTCAACCAAACGAATATATCAACATTGATTCTTCCTACTCCCACCATGTAATGCACTCTAAATAATGTATATTGACCACATCTAGCCAATGCTTCTCCCCCTAAGGCCCTCATTTGTAATCAACTGCAAATACTAATTGATTCATTTCAACTAAGCAAAGTCCTGCGACTTTTTCCTATTTTCAAAGGTTTCTACATAAGAACTCTGGTGCCTCCATAAAACTAATCTCTCATATGAACGTTATATATCTAAATTTTTATTATATTTGTATGTTAGATCTTCATACAAAGCTAAGACATTAAATTTTATCTCGCTCTGTACTACCGTGAATATTCCATGATTTAACAATTCTATACTTCTAAAAATCAAAATAATATTTTCTTTAAACTGAGTCGGCAGTGAGGCTTAAATTCTAACATATTTCAGCAAATATAGATAGCAATGAGATCTCACCATACTATCCAGTTTGTTGGAGAAAAAACAAATAGTTACATTATATCTACCACAAAAATAAACTTCTAACTTCTAAGGCATTCATTTAGGACAATTTTTTTACTACTTTTAAAACAAACTTTTAATACAAATTAAAAAAAAAAACAATAAAAAAAATATTCAAAATTTGTCCCAAACAAAGCCTTTATGTGATCAACCAAACCTTCAATAATTATATGCAAAAATACATTATGACCATCAAACCTTCAACCTATGATACCTTCTCTTCCAACTTAGGCTTCGTTTGAGACGGCTTTCTTGCCGCTTTTTAAAACAGTTTTTTAGTACAAAAATTTTAATATTTGTACTAAAATATTTAAAAGTTGTCCCAAACAATGTGATCAACCAAACCTTCAATAATTATATGCACAAAAACATTATGACCATCAAACCTTCAACCTATGATACCTTCTCTTCCAACTTAGGCTTCGTTTGAGACGGCTTTCTTGCCGCTTTTTAAAACAGTTTTTTAGTACAAAAATTTTAATATTTGTACTAAAAAGCTGATTTAAGAAACAATAAAAAAATCGCCTCAAACTAAACCTTAGTCACCACATTCTTATAAAACATCATTGCCTATAGAGGCAAATCCCAAATATGAGAAGAATCGAATGAAGACAGTCAGAGACTCAACAGGTCAACCTTATTCATTATGAGGGTTGAACTGTTCTTTATATGAGTCGAAAACTTCAAATCAATTTTAACAATGATACTCAAACACTTCTGAACCAACATGAGAAGCAATTAGGTTATGTTAGATTTGTGTCAATACAATAATAAGACATAATAACCTAATTTTATGAGCTTTGCATCCCTTTTTCAAACGCACCTTTTTTTCCCATTTATAGCCTATCATTCCTAATGTCAACAACTTAACCTCAACAGGCACTTACAAAATGAATTGAAACCTACAGATGTACAGAACTATAGATTAATCTACATTCATTAAAAAAAAATTAGCAGCTTGATATTAAGAGATTATTTGGGACGGCTTTCTTACTATTTCTTAAAATAGTTTTTTAATACAAAAATTTAAGAAGCAGTAAGAAGGCTGTCTCAAATGAAGGCTTCGTTTGGAACGACTTTTTTATTGCTTCTTAAATTAGCTTTTTAGTGCAAAGATAAAAAATTTTATACTAGAAAGCTACTTTAAGAAGCATTAAGAAAGTCGTCCCAAACAAAACAGAGGTCTAAATACCCAAAGCAAAATCACTTCACGCCTGATGGTGCATGAAAACAGTTGACAGCAATTTCTGTCTTCGCAACGTCCAGTTTAGCTGCTTGAAGCTCCTCATGGATTTGTGAGAAGTCAGCAAAATTTCATTTTCCTGTAGAGAACTCTTTCTCAACTAAACGAAACATTTCTTTCAGACGAGTTGATGAGTTGGCAATAACATTCTTTGTTATCCTTTTCTGATGCTTGGTGCTCTTCAACCAAGCAATTCCCAAGGACACGAGAACATGACATGCCTTGGATTTTGACTGGAGATCATCAATCTGATATCTCAAATGAAGCTGAACAGAAAGTTTAAGAAAAAAACAATATCATATACAGAGCATTCTAATGGCTAAAACTTGAAGAAGAAGAAGGTTCGTATTTCTCTTACAGTGAAATAGTCGCCCAGCAATACTCCTTGAAGTGTCATGACCTCTTCAATCAACCATCCATTTTTATCATGGAGGCGAGACCTCTGCTGAGTGCTGGTCACCTCTCCGCCGTAGCGAGAGATGTTCTTGTCGAATTTGTAGTTGACTTGTCTCTGGTGCACATCAGGGGAGACAGATTCCCATGGTGTAGCCGAGTAATCGACACAACCAACTTTTTCCATCACCTTTTGCTCTAAAGAATCTCCGTCAAAGATCTCCATAAGCGAGTTCAGCTGATTATTTTAAGAACAAGATAAAGCTCAGATCCATGAGAACAAAATTAGAGAACATATTTCCATATATCAACTTTTACAATGGCAAAAGGCAGGTTGGAAGCAGACTCACAGGAACGGGAACAATGGAGGAGAAAACCTCAGACATTTTGGCATCTTCTACACCCAGGAAAGATCCACTTTCCTCTGAGTGGAGTTCCTTCTCTTCGGACTCTTCTTCCACTATTCGCACCTTCTGTTCAGGGCTTAGAGACTTTGCCTTCCACAATGCCATGATTGTTCTGTTACAAGGACGAAATTGGAAGCTCATCATATACAGAATTTGTCATTTATAGAACCTGCTTCATATATGTGCACATGGAATATTCCACATTTGTTTGGCTAAAAGGGAGCGAAATTGAACCAGAGAATGCACCTATTCTGCAAAGATGCTATAATGTGCTACAGGCAAATTTTAGGCATGAGCAATCATTGGATCTCTTAACACTTATCAACATGACCTCAGTAATGTTAAAGTTTGCTTATTCATAGCTAAGTTACAATCCTTTCCTATCAATTAAAAGTTCTGTGCAAAAACAAGGGGAAAAAAAAAGTATTCTTGTGCAAAGAAGAATTACCTGTTGGCCACGTTGAATGACACAAATGATTGGAATTGGAATTTCAACCTTCCGTCTGGGTCCAGGGACTTTGCTCCATGCCTTGCATCCAAACCTCTACCTCGGCGAAGAATAATCAATAAAGAAGGGCTACCCATTGATGTCAAAGATGGGGGAACAACTTGAATGTCCTCGATATCTTCCCAGAGAAAGAAAAACTTGATCTTGTGTCCGAAAAGGTTGGTGTAAAATCCAATTATTCTTGGAGAAAGAAACAGACGACCCTAAAAAAAGACAAATTACCATTGTTGGAGTAGCATGGTCATACTCTAGAAATTTTAAGGACTTCAGTATTTTACTTGGGGCTTTCACCATCCAGATCCTAATCTAACTTGCTAAAGATTCAAGAGAAGAGAAATTATGATATATGAAAAATGAACCTGTATTGGCATTTTGCGCTTCAAGTGACAAGTAAAATCATTGATAAGAAACTCTTCCGGTGGTAGACCAAATAGCTTCTGGAATGCTGAATTTGTCTGAGGTGACCGCAAATTTATCTATGCGTTGAATTATAAAGAGCTGCGTGAGTTAATAGTTTAAACTTCCAATAAATGAATCTCAAAATGTACAACCGTACCAACCTTTTTACCAACTTCTTTCTCCATCTTTGTTAGATAGTCTGAAACAACTTGGACACCTCGAGTGTTGTTAAGAAAGATCCTCAGATGTAACTTAGATTGGCATGCCTGAGCTAACTTTCCCTCTAGAGAAATCCATGCATCTGCCAATTCTGATAAGTTAGATTTGAGAAAGTTGACTTCAGCATGGCCCAGTGAAACAGCTTCATCGAAAGGTCCGTCAAAATCATACACATTAATTTCCATTGTTGATGGAGGATCAATCATTGCATCAAATTCAAAAATTTCTACAAATGGAAGGAGAGATTACTTATTAGAGTGCTGATAGGTATAATAGCAGGGGATATAAAGGTGCTAACCGAATTTGATAAAATTGAGGAGCTAAATTCATTGAATATGATGCAAGTTAAAATGTTTCAGTTTTCTATAATAATGTGCAAAGATTTCAACATCTGATGAGTTGTTATATGCCAGTTCAAATCATTTGCGGCATTATATTTGCCGCTATACCTTCCAAAGATGACACCAGTTTACTGACTAGCTTACAATTTTCATTTGTCCGATTACCAATATGAACCCCTTGATTTTGACGCATGCGTAAGGCAAGGAATAACAAAGGTTTCAAAACATTAAATGACAATCGAAGGTAAGCCTATTTGTGCAAGGTTCTTACTTCTTGATGGCAGCTCCTTGCTGCTTTTCAAGCCTCAAAGCCCCCAGAATATCTCCCCACGGAAATTATGCTTGGCATTTTCTATGAAAAAGCTTAATAAGCAACTTAAAGCAAGTCCTAATATGCCAGTACAGGTTGCTATTTAGCCATGCCTGTGAAACCCAGTTTTATTCATGATCCTTCTCTATTTTCATAAAACCTACTATGTTGATACCAATGGCATCTGCTGAGGTGATTCAGAACATCTAAGATCTAAGATTCCTAATGCCAATAAATGTTCTGAATGAAACAACAATAACAACAACAACATCAAGTATTTATCGCATTATGTGAGGTCGGCTACATGAATCATTTTTCTCTATTTTGCTCTGTAAAGAATCAAATTTTCATTTAAATCTAATAAAAAAATATCATTTCTAATATTTTCTAACTAAGTATTTTTAGATCTACCTCTATATTTATTAACATAGGTCAAATCTAATGCATCTACTCTTCTAATCGAGTCATCGGAAGCCCAGTGTTTTTGTGACCAAACCATCAAAGGCGACTCTCTCTAATCTTATTTGCCACTGGAGCTACAACAACTTTTTAACGTATATACTCTCACATTCTGTCTCAAAAGTGAAGCCACTCATACACTTGAGCATCCTTATCTCTGCAACACTTAACTTAATTTTATGTGTGTCTTTTAATAGCCAACAATGTGCGCCACGAAGCATTACAGGTCTTAACATCATCTTATGGTATTTTCCCTTAAGTTTGAGGGTTACTTTTCTATCACACAATAGGCCCGAAGCATTCCTCCACTTCAACCATCCAACTTGAATTATACTAATGATATCCACATCTATTTCACCATCACTTTGAACAATAAACCTTAGATATCTAAAATGTGTACCCTTATTAATGACTTGATCGTCCAAAGTCACTGTCCCCTCACTAGATCTATTATTACTAAAATTACACTATTTATTCAGTTTTAGATCTACTCAAACGAAAACCTCTGGAATCTTAAGGTTGACCTCTATAGTTCATGCTTATCTAAACTCTCTCTCTAGTCTTATCAGCAAGAAGAATATCATCAGCAAAAAGCATATACCATGGTACATCCTCTTGCAATTGTCTAGTAAGAACATTCATGACTAAGCAAAAAGATATGGACTTAAAGTTGATCCTTGCTATAATCCAACTAAAGTAGGAAAATACATGGTCAAACCACCTTGTGTTTAAACACATGTAACAACTCTTGCATACATATCCTTAATGACTTGATTATTAAGCATTATTAATCCCCTTTTTTTTCTAGATCTTTCTAGAGCACTTCTCATGGAACTTAATAAAAAAATATCATATGTAGATCCTCCTTATTCTCTCCATACTCCTCCATCAAACCTCTCAATAAATGTATAGCTTCCATAGTAGACCTACCCGACATGAATCCAAATTGATTTTGAGAAATAATAGTATTAAATCGTATCCTATGCTCAATAACTCCCTCCAATAATTTGAGTTTTTCCTTTTGATACTCCAAACACATCCTTTACAATATTCCTAATATCACTAGCTACTTTCTTCCACATAATATATTTTTCTTATATACAGTCAAAACAATATGATTTTGAATCTTACTCTCAAGAATATTTTTGTTAGTGTTTTTTAAATGCCGCAATCTAATATTAAGACAACATTTTACTTCAGTTTTTATAATTCATCCCTTCCTTTTAAATTCTAAAACTAATAAACTATATTATATACATAAATTTTCATTAGGAATGATTTTACAAACTTTGCAATCTATTTTTCTTATAAGAAAATAATCAATATTAATTTTACTATATCCATTCTTATAAGTGAATGAAACAACAAAAATTAAATTTTGGAATTCAAACCTCCAATGACTATCAATTAAAATAAGAATTCAATGTCTTTTGACGTTAACAATAAAATATGATAAATCCATTTCAAATAATAGTTTAATAATTGACTAAACCAAGAAAATTAATGAGAATAAAACATACCAAAAACCACAAGGCGGTTAAAATTCTAATGGACTGACTGATTTGATTGGGAGGGAATTATGAAGGTTTATTTAGGGCAAGAAGGTTGATTTGATTGGGAGGAAATTAGAAGGTTTACTTAGGAAAATAGGACTGATTTGATTGGAAAGAAATTAGGAAAATTTATATAGGAAAAGATTGTTGATTTGAATTCAAATTTGGAAGAGAATTATTTAGGGAGAGATGGCTAATTTGAATTCAGATTTGGGAGGGAATTAGGAGAGCCTATTTAAGGCTAACAATAAGATGATTTCAGGATTATGTTTTGAGTTTACTGAAATTAGAATTTCTTATGTTGTGATGGCTTAGCCGCCAGCTAGGGATTTGGGAGAGCCAAATCTTCCTCTCCAACTGAAGATCTTACTATATCTTGTTATTTTCTTTCATATATTTTATAAGAAAAATAATTTGGGTGTGTTCTTCTATTTTTCATTATCGTTTGCTGATTTTGAGAAAATTATATCCACTACCTATCAAATTCAAACCACAAAAAAACACTAGTGTAGCATATATGAATAAAATTAAGCAAATTGATAAAATGTTAGACCAGCCCAAGAGGGGCTAATCTAAGAGGGATTAGCCTATGTTTATACCAGGCGGAAGCCTGGTTCTCCCAAGCTTAGCCCGCCCCCATGGGGGTGGATCCACTTGCTAATGAAGAGAGAGGAGGGGGCGGGTGAGAGAAAAATTTGAATTGGAGGGGCTGTTTTGACATTTTACTTTGAATTTTTGCTTTTAATAGTTGTTTCGCTCTAGGGTTAGGGTTATGCATGTTTTGTGCCTGAATTTAGTTTGTGCCTTGGAAATTTTGGGCTCTAATCAGCGGCTAGGGTTTGGGAGAGTGGGATCTTCCTCTCCAATTGACGATCCTTGTATCTTATCGCTTTTCTTTTGTAAGTCCTACAATAAAAGTAATCTAAGGTATGTTCTTCCAATTCTTTCTTGTGGGTCTGTGTTTTGGGTTGAAAGATCTCTTATTTCCAATCATAGTATCAAAGCACTTTTTTGGGGCCTATAGAAGCGTAGAAGATGGACATGTTGAAGGTGAGATGGAACAACTCAAGGCTGGGATGGAGAGATTTTTCGGAATGGAGGAAAGATTCACATCCGCTGAAGATAGGTTCTCATCCATGGACAACCACTTTGGAAACATGCAAGGCATGATGAAAAAGTTGATTGAAATCCAATCAAAGGCCTCACCGGTTACTCCTATGGCAGATCGGAGGGATAAGATAGTTCAAAAAGATGATGATGAAGTGGAGAGTGTTTTTCCTCAAAGACCACCCAGAGGTATTCCGATGGGAGGTGCTTCGGGGTATCTGGAAGAGAGGGCAGCAAGAAGAGGGGAATTTGAACCCTTTTGGAAACCACCTAGGCATAAGGGAAGATGGCCCGGAGGAAGCAATGGTTGGACCGAACCATGGGACCCAAATCCGCCAAGGTAAGAAGGGAGAGAATCACACCACCATTACACCGAAGACGATTGGAGGTACTCAGAGGGTGGAGGACATACGAGCAAAGCTCAGGGTGCTTAGACTAAAAGGGCTGAGGGAGACGATGGAGCTTGCTCATAGGGTGGAGGAAAAATATTGGAAGGAGAAAGCCAGCATAAGCAACATCATGGGAGGGAACTACAAGAGGACCTCTACGACCCTTACACCTAGAACCCAGGCAGTGTCCTTCCAGAGAGAATCTTTCAGAGAGACGAGCAGCGGAGTTTTCCAGGAGGGGCAACTTCAAGAGACTTATAGAAGCAGAGGTGCAGGATAAACGAGCAAAAGGGTTATGCTTCAGATGTGATGAGAAGTATATGCCGAGGCACGAGTGTTTGGACCGAACTCTTCAGGTTCTCACCATACGTGATGACAAGGAAGCTATGGGATGTGGGAGTGAGGCATCGATGGAAAAGGAAAAGCTGCATTTAGACATGGTAGAGGTCTCCTTGAACATAGTGATGGGATTCATTCCAAATCACACTATGAAGATGAGAGGAGAAATAACAAATAGAGAGATAGTGGTGTTGATTGATAGTGGGGCTACCCACAACTTTATCTCCAATCAGGTCGTACACCAATTAGGGGTGAAACTGGTGGATACAGGGTGTTATTGGGTGATGATGGGGACTGGGAAGATGAAGATAGGTAGAAGGGTGTGTAGGGGAGTGGTCCTAACTATACAAAAACTTTAGGTGAGGGAGGATTTTCTCTCACTGGAGATGGGCAGCACTGATGTCATATTAGGGACGAGATGACTACAAACCTCAGGGGATACCAAGGTGGATTGGGAGATGCTAACAATGAATATGATGGTGGAAGGGAGAAGATGGTTATTAGGGAAGATACAGGACTCTCTAAAGCCAAGGTATCTCTCAAAACTATGGTAAGGGCCATATAGGAGGTGGGGATTTCTTGTGGAACTGCATAGCTTAGAGGAGATCAGAGGAGAGGAAGAGAGGGACATCCCCCTTTCGGTACAGTCGTTCATACAACAGTTTAGTGAGGTTTTCCAACCACTTCAAAGGATGCCACCACCGAGGGAGCAGGAGCATGCCATAACTTTGAGGGAGGGGGTGTCACCAATCAGTGTCAGACCTTAACGCTACCCTCAGATCCAAAGGTTGGAGGCAAGGATCATCAGGTTAAGCATAAGCCCATTCTCTAGTCCAATTCTATTGGTCAAAAAGAAGGATGAAAGCTGAAGATTTTGTGTGGACTATCAGGCCTGAATAAGGAGACTATGCCGAACAAGTTTCCTATTTCGACGATAGATGAGCCGTTAGATGAACTTTGTGGAGTGGTGGTATTCTCGAAGATGGACTTGAAGTCTGGATACCATCAGATACGGATGAGAGGAGGATGTTCTAAAGATGACATTCAGGACTCACGAGGGATAATATGAGTTATTGGTGATGTCATTTGGCCTCACTAACACCCCTGCTACCTTCCAGCCCCTCATAAACAAGGTGTTCCAACCATACCTCAAGAAGCTTGTATTGATTTTCTTTAATGACATCCTAGTGTACAACAGGTCCAAGGAAGAGCATTTGGAGCATCTAAAGGTGGTCTTAGAGGTGTTATCAACTAAGGATCCACCTAAAGAAGTGTTGTTTTGCACAGGCCATTATGGAATATTTGGGGCACATAGTATCCCAGGAAGGGCGGCCGCTGATCAGAATAAGATTGAAGCCATGCTAAACTGGCTTCTACCTAGCAATCTGAGGGAGTTGAGAGAATTTTTAGGGTTAACTGGGTACTACAGGAGATTTATGAGGAGATACAATGCCATAACCTGGCCACTAACCGAACATCTGAAGAAGGATAGTTTCTTGTAGGGAGAGGCAACGACCCAGGCCTTTGAGAGATTTGGAGACAATCATGACCATAATACCAATTCTAGCCCTACCCGATTTCAGCTAGATGTTCGTGTTCAGGACCGATGTATCAAGATAAGGATTGGGGGTAGTACTCATCCAGAACCACCGACCTATAGCTTATTATAGCCAGAAGTTGACAGTCAAAGCCAGGCTGAAATCGATCTATGAAGGAGAGTTGATGGTCATTATATTAGCTATTCATAAATGGCAAACTTACTTGTTGGGCCGACGCTTCATCGTTAGGACAGATCAAAGGAGTTTGAAATACTTGTTAAAACAAAGGATGGTGACCAAGGAGCAACAGAGATGGTTTTCAAAGTTGCTGTGGTATGATTTTGAGATCCAGTATAGGCCAGGGCTGGAAAATAAGGTTGTTGATGCCTTGTCAAGATGCGTGGGGGAGCTTTAGAAGATAACCATTTCGATACCGTTGATGTTGGATTGGGGTGCTATTAAGGAGGAGAGTATAAGACAAGGAGCTAAGAAGGATCATAGTGGATCTACTGAAGGATGAGAGTAACCACCCTGACCATCCGTAGATGGGGAGAGACTACTATACCATGGAACCTCAGACCTTGATTCATATTCCACACTTGCTACATGATTTCCACGGGAGCACTGTTGGGGGTCATTCTAGTGTGCAAAAAACATACAAGAGATTGACTGCAAAGTTATATTAGAAGGGGATGCACAAGGACGTAGAGGAGATGGTGGCCAAGTGTGAGATATGCCAGAGGAATAAGTACATGGCCATAGCTCCAGGGAGACTACTACAACCCCTAGCCCTTCCAAGCACAAGCTACCCCGATCTGAAGGGTTTGCAGTTATTTTGATGGTGGTTGACAGATGAGCAAATATGCTCATTTCATTTCCCTACAACATCCTTACATGGCAGTGACAGCAGTGTAGGCGTTCATTAGAGAGGTGATCAAATTACATGGGATACCAGAGTTTATAGTATCCGACCGAGATAAGAAGTTCCTCAGTCACTTATGGATGGAGTTGTTCAGGTTGCAGTGGACTATGTTGAAGAGGAGCACCGCTTACCACCCTCAGATAGACGGGTAGACGAAGATGGTAAACAGGAGCCTGGAGACATATCTGTGATGCTTTGCTTTAAAGACACCTCAGCTATGGGCTAAGTGTCTGGCATTGGCAAAGTACTGGTACAATACTTCGTATCACTTGGTATCCCAGATGACTCCTTTCAAAGTATTGTACAGCAAAGATCCGCCTCACTTGGTATACTTTCGGCATAGTAGCACACCAGTCCTTCCGGTAGAGTGATACTTGGAGGAGAGGGATAGGGTGTTGGAGGAATTAAAAAGACACCTGTTGAGGGCCCAACAATTCATAAAAAGGAAGGCAGATGGGCGCAGGAAGAATATTCAATTAGAGGTAGGGGACAGGGTATATTTGAAGCTTCGTCCCTATATGCAGAGGACAATGGCTAGTATGAGGAATGAGAAGCTGGACTTGAAATACTTTGTCCCTTATCAGATAGTAGAGAGGATCGAAGCTGTGGCATATTGAATGAGACTACCACCGACCACAATCATACACTTGGTTTTCCACGTGTCACAGTTAAGGAGAGCTATAGCCTATAGAGAATCATACATCAAGTGCGAAGTTACCAGTGACGTTGATGGAGCATTTGGAGGCGATTTTGGAACCACTGGAGTTGGAAGTAGTACGACAAGGAGAGGGAGGAAGTAAGAAAGTGTTGATTAAGTGGAAGAATCTACTTGAGTATAACACGTGGGAGCCGTATGAGAGGATGAAGTATCAATTTTCATCATTCCACCTTGAGGACAAGATGATTCTTTGAAAGGGGACATTGTTAGACCGACCCAAGAGAGGCTAGTCCAGCCGGTCAAGGAGGGACCGGCCTACATTCCACCAAGGCTTAGCCCGCCCCCTTGGGGGTGGGGTCCACTTGCTAATGGAGAGAGAAGGGGGGTGGAAGGCGAGAGAGAAATTTGAATTGGAGGGGTTGTTTTGACATTTTATTTAGAATTGTTTGCTTTTAATAGTAGGGTTAGGGTTATGCATGTTTTGTGGCTAAATTTAGTTTGTGCCTAAGGAATTTTGGGCTCTAGCCTCTATTTAAGGTTTGGGAGAGTGGAACTTCCTCTCCAATTGAAGATCCTTGTATCTTGTTGGTTTTCTTTTGTAATCCCTGAAATAAAAGTAATCTAATGTGTGTTCTTCTTCTAATTCTTGCTTGTGGGTCATTTTTTGGGTTGAAAGCTCCCCTATTTCCTATTTCCTATCATAAAACTAATATCAAATTATGTGAAGAACAAAGAAAAAAATAAGAGATCACCAACAACAACAATAACAATAGCAAGCCTTTATCCCACTACGCAGGATCAGCTACATGAATTCCTTTTCTCCATTGTGTCATATTAAGAGTCAAATTCTAATTTAAATCTAATAAAGAAATGCAATTTCTAATACATTATAATCAAGTCTTTTTAGGTCTACATCTACCTTTCTTAACACAGTCGTTGTTGGTTCTCAAGCCCTATATGAGAAAAAAGAAGGGTAGCATTAAGTAGTCGACAACCAGTATAAAACTTATCGACAATCATGACATGAATCTTTTAATACCAAAACAATGAGATCACCAAGAATAGAAAATTCAACCTTTATGTTAGTACAAGCAGGTGAATCGGCACAAAAAATGATATCCGCCCTTACACCACACTCAAAAGAAGCATCCAACCAAGCACACGAGATTGAAAAAAAAATTAGAAATTTTATTAAGACAAAAGTTCTTCCTTAGGGCAGTCAGCTCCTATTCAATTCAAATTTGTCGGGGTTTATATTGATAATTTGGTGTGTGATCAACGTAAGTCTCTATTTTTTTCCGAAATATAAGCATGGTGATATCCAAAAAAATTAAGCGTTAGGATCAGCACAAACTAGGTTCAAAACTAGTGAATGGATCACAACATGAACCATAATCGCAAATTGTTATAGGAACCGCACAATAAAAGATTAAAAGTCATTATAGGAGCAGCACAACAGAGATTGCAAGTTGCTAGAGGACCTGACTCGATAGTCTATAGGCATCGCCACAAAAACCAATAATTGGGATAGGACCATTATAATGAATAGACTCATGGTTTAACCACAACCAACACAACAAACCAAACAAAAGAAAACAAAACGTCTAAATTCCCATATGCCTCATCATAGACATTTTTAGATTTTAGACAAATCAAAATAAGAAAAATACTTAATAGAAAATAGTAAGAAAAACAATTAAACTAAAAACAATATTTAGTATGCTAATTTGCTCATCATAGCTCACACTTAGTGCTCTTGACAAGTGTAGTCCTTTAGATTGCCATCACAAGAGTTGTCAACATTGTGATAGTTCAATTAACATTAAGACTTAAGCCTTCTTGCTTCACATTTTTTATGCTGACCATGCACAGTAAATTAATAAAGATTGGTCAAAAATAATTCAGATGGAAATATTTTAGGTTTTAGCATGTGTCATAAATTAATTTTGACGAAAAAGGATTCATGTAGCCAACCCCACGTAAAGGGACAAAGGCTTGATGTTGTTTTTGTTGTACATGCCAATCAAATATGATAGAGCACCTCAGAATGGTGTTGTTTTACTTAATTGTTCAGAAAATAATAGAGAGGAGGTGATTTTTCTTTATTTTAAAATAAGATGCATTGCTCGGATAGTCTCCACGATAACTGATTCATTTTTGAGATTGCTTCTGCCAATTTATGCAGGAATCCGTAAGTGGCGTCATAACCGAAATGCGTAGACTCTTTGCAGAGTAAAACACGATAATATGTAATAGTTTTGTAATTAATTAGTCGTTCTATTCACAATTTAAGAAGGCATGAATATAGATAAAGAGTTCCAAAGAGAAACTATATAAAAAATACATTGGGAGAATAAATATTAAAATGATAACGAGAAAGGTGATCAAATTACCATTCCAATGAGGATCCAGTGTTTGGAACTTGATTGAGCTTGTTTTTGTTTTACCGTGGCAAGTAAATGCTACATAAGGATCAGAGTAACCAGATGAATCAACTGCTGCTAAATCACTTCCCTCAATCAAGGCAACAGTAAGCAGCCATCCATCTCCTTGCGCTTTTATGCCATGATCACTTTCTGTAAGTACAGAAAAAGGAATGGCTCCCGTGAGCACAAAAAAAAAAGGCTCTCACTCTAAGACTTTGTTTAGGATGGCTTTCTTACTGCTTTTCTTAAAGCAACTTTTTATTATAAAAATTTTAATTTTAAAACTAGAAAGCTGTTTTAAGAAGTAATAAAAAAGCCGTCTCAAACGAAGCCTAAATTTAATATGCCAAACCAGCTGTCAAGTTAATTGCTTATATTTTGTCATGTAACCAGAAAAAGCAAACCTTTTTTCTGATTCTACTGTTTTGTAGTGTAAATAATGCCTTGGAATAGCTAATGAATACACCGTAATAAGATTTTTTTTATTGCATAATATGGTAGTATGAAGTATCCCACTGATTTCTCACATAAATATGAGTTTCCCGTTATGGTAAGTGTGCCAAAAGATTTCTCAAGATAGTCAATGATGTTTAGTTTTTAATATGGAAAATTCCTCAAAAGAATTTAATTGAAAATGCAATGGTTTAAGTAAAAAATTTGTACCTCTCTTCTTCCTTGCCTGCAAGAAGCGACCTATCATTTTCAGAACACGTTCTCCTTGAAGGACCAAGACACCACAAACTACTACTTCACCGATAGAATCTGGCAAATCTAGGCCTGTAAACTCAAGCCCCTGGATCATACTACGGTTTGCAAGAAGTATATGCACAGTAACATACAACCCCACAAAAATAGAGGATATGACAGTGAAATTTCCAAAAAACCTGCAAGCTAACTTCCAATCTGACTCTTGTTCGGTCTGCAAAGAAGCCAAAATCTGCTCTTTGCTGGATTCAACATCTTTCAAATCAAGAGGTTTGGCATTTTTAGAGAGCAGCTCAGCAAACTGAACATAACTATCTTTAAGGCCTTGCTTTGCGCCATTTTCAATCATTCCTTTCATCATAGTACTCTGAAAAAAATTAATGCGCCAAGAAACCACTAAACGAGATGACTCCTCTTCAGATGGCAATTGAGGGCCTGGCATTATGCAATACAGAACTTCGCACCTAAAATAACTACCAAATGGAACATCAGGAGTGCTCACACTTGCTAAAACAGAATAGTTTTTACCATCAGCCTTTAGATAAATCTGCTCCTCTGTAGCTTTCACTGCTTTAACTAATTTAGTTGCAGCTTTAATGTAGGTGACCACTCTTTTCAGGCTCTCTCCATTTTCAAATCTCCAGGGTTCAATATTTAGATCAGTAGTTCCCTGAATCTCTGCTAAGGATTGTAAGAAGTTAGAGTTTGGAGAAAATATAATGGTATTGAGTTCACTGGGGGAGACTGCATAAGACTGGTCAAGAATCACTCCGCCAGTTAAATTTTCTGGCATTTCACCTCCCTGGTCTTTTGATTCCAAAATCTTCAATAACTCATCAAACGTGGAGTTGGAAACAGTATCATCTGCTAGTTCAGTAGCCTCAGGTTTTAGTGGTTCCTCTTGGATTACTTCAACAAAATCAATATCTCTACTTGTGGACTTTGTAATTTCTGTACTCTTCCCAGAAAAAATTTGAAACATTCGGTCAAAAAATGCTCGAGACTGTGATTTCTCTTCCTTATCTGGTTCAGCTTCTTCAGCCTCAGACACAGAGTATGAATCTATTTTCCCGTTGGACTCGACCGACAATGATTCTCTTTTAAGTTCTGAGGATTTATCAGAATGTGATGTTAAATCTTCAGAACAAGTCCGAGGGGGGGTTCCATCGCAGGAAGGATTGCTCTGAGACAGTGATAAGGTAAGACGAATTTCTCCTGGAAATTTAACAAAGACATTCACATTTACATCCGATCTTCACAGTGAGCTCGCATACTCAATATAATGTCATAAGTAAATGATTTTCTTGTCAATCAGCACACAAATCTACAGATCCAAAAACAAAATAATGGTTTCTTTTAATCTTAAAGCATGAATTGCTGACCTTGAGTTGTACCCTATATCAATTACAAGTACTTTGGCATGTAAAGGAAATTTATCGCTAAAAAATTTTACAAATCATGTCTATAATCTGTTAATTATAGTAAAAATAATCACAATTTCAGGGCTTCATTCTCACGCAGACCTACATGTCTTATTGTCTGTGAGTTCTAGGGGTACTTTGCCTCTAATAATTTCTCCATTTCATTTTCTTCTCTCCAACTAAGGCATTATGTTCTTACTTATTTAGAGCTCTTTATTTCATTACATATGTCTAAACAATTGTAAAATTTTAAGCTGAATTAGAAGTTTGTTCCACAGATTTAGGCGCACGAGATTTTACAAGAAAAAAACATCCAAATGAATATACATTCTAGTTTCTACAAATGAGATTCAATAAATGTATTGAACTGAAAAAACTTGTTTCTTACATACTGATAAAGATATGGATGGTTTCATTTTTTGACCCAAAAACTGGTTTCATAGTTCAGATTGAAACAAATGTCTAACTCAAACTAGTTTTTAGATTAGATAATAATAGATCAAAATAAATGAGCATCGTGAACAAAACTGAACCCTGAAACGCGCATTCAGTTATAAGGAATAATGAAAAAAAAAATTTACCAGAAAAAAAAAATTAAGGATTTTGGCAATAACAACCATGCTCGATGGAAGAGGAAAAAATATAAAAACGTCAGCAGAACGGCGTAGTTACAAAAGGTCATGAGAGTCATCTTACCACATTCCTTGTTCTTGGATTTTTTACTCTTGGGCTGGAGTTGATACCAAGCAGATCCAAGTGATAAATTCTCAGCATCCAAGACCTTAGCCAACGGCAATTTAACTTGGCCGATACTATCATCACTGAAGTACTTGTCCTCATCTAATACTAAGATAATCAATTCTTCCTTTAGGTCTCCAACCCTGAAGTTGAACTCTTCATCCCAAAAAGGGTTCAAGCTCTTCTTCACAACCTTTGTCTTTGCACGTTGCTTCCCAAGCTGTAGTCTCACATAGGGATCACTCAGCCCATTAAGATCCATGGCCGGGAGACCACGGGCTTCGATGACTTGCACGTATAGCCTCATGAGGCAGGTTAACAAGCCGGAGCAAAGCGACAAGAGAAACTACGGTTCAAAATCAGAAGATGGCAAGAAAAAGTGAAAGAGAAACAAGAAAATGGAAGAATCAAACAGCAACAATGTTTTTTGAATCCCCAATTCTTGCGAGGAATGATAGAACAAAGTTGGATCATAAATAGGATACCCAGAAACAGCAATTTCTGAACTCAACAGCCCATTAGAGAGAAAATTTTAAGAAATTGATCAACGAGAACGTGCACAATAAATAAAGCGTGCTTGATAAGGAGAAATAATCAAAGAATTTAAATCATATAATAAAAACTAATAACAAGGGGGTAGGGGAACCCGTCCTAAATGAAGCTATGTTTCCGAAGCCAACAAAGCTCATACGAAAACCTAAGAGGAGTAAATAATCGATTCAATCTCAGCAGTAATCGATCAAAACAGAACCAGCAGCAACATGATAAGCCTGAACTCTGAAGTTGAAAACCCAACCCGAAAACTGTATACCCTAAGAAAACCTTCCGAGTTGAATCAAAAGACAGACGAAGCACTTGTAAATTAGAAACAGGTACGTTTTGGGAAGACGACTAGAGCTTGAACGGTGAGCAAGGAGATATGAGCAAGAAAGAGGGAATCTTTCTTCATTCTTCTTTGGCAGGAGGGAAAAACAACCGAAAAACTGAAGAAGTAAAACATTGCAGACGTAATTTATGGGATCGGGGAGGAGAGAAGAGAAAAGAGGACGAAGACTTCTCCGGTTCTCCCCTCTTCTCTCTCCTCTTTCGTCTCCCCGCGTAGCCTCGGCAAACTAATTAAAATCAAAACTACTAAATTATTTAATTATTTTGGCATAATCCATAACTGACCGCTTCAATAGTCTTCCCATTTGGCATCTGCTAAGCATAAAAGCTTTTCTTAGGATGTTTTACGAGGAAATAAATGAACCAATCAAAATTGCACGCATCAGACAAAAAGGGTTGGACAAGATACTTACTCACAAATTGGCTTGATTGATTTAAACTTTTCATAATTTAAATTATAATTTTTTTTTATGTAGCCATATTAAAATAAACTCGTACACACATCACATACATAAAATACGAACCCAAATCCTTTTGATTAGTTAGTCAAAACTTCTACGGAATATTATAAATAAAAGCATAATATTTAATTTAAATTAGCAATATAATCATATGTTTTAAAAAAAAGATTAAAAAAGGAACCTTGTCAAATATAATGGCGCATTCTAATTTGGTCCATTCAGAATGCACCAAATGATTTAGTGCATTCTAAAAAATGTGTCAAATGATTTGGTGCATTCATCCAGTTAGCCGAATTAAATTTTCAGAAGTACTGTAGCAATGCGTTAAACTGTTTGGCGCTTTCTAAATACGCCAAACTGTTTGGAGCATTCAATAAAATGTATCATTCTGTTTGGCTAGTTTGTTTCTTTTTAAATTTTATTTAATAATCTGTTCATATTCTTAATTTAATTAAACATCATGCTCCTTAAATAAAATCCAAACTTCTAACCATTGAGTAGCGTAATTCTTATAATTTTAATAAACTTTTAACTAAATTGAATATTTCGACAAGACAAATTTAACGACACAAAATACAAGACAAATAAAATGATAACATACACTTACCATCATCCTATCACTGAAGCATAGAGCAGAAAGCCAATTTACTAAAAAACATTAGAGAAATTATTACGTGGGTCACCGAATGCCATCCCGAGGCGAATCAAGATGAGCCACATCACCATTTTGTTGTATATCGGTATTGTGTACAAAGTGATATGGCTCATTCTGATTCGCCTCCAGACGGTCGAATGAATGCATGTAATAATTTCTCAAAACATTTGCCAATAGAGTGGCCATACCTTCTTTTTATGTATAAAAGAACCTTGAGTTTTATTTTAGTTGCATTGATTATAAGGAATAGAACATCTAATCCGAAGATTTAAATCCAAAAGAAATAAAAATTCCATATCATTATCAGAATCATACAAAAAGAAGTAAACAATCATTTGCATTGCACAATAGTTGCAATTGTGTTCTATTTAATTCAAGGAAAATGAATAGGCAGTTGGGCTCTTTTGTAATATAAAATTATAACCCATACTTAAAATCTATATGGTGACATGATTTTTAAAACAGCCTCACACAAAAATGTCTTAATTTCTAACATATATAACTTAATTTGCACAATGTTTAAATTAAAATACATAAATTTCTTTTGCCATAGCAAACACAAGTCTTAGTGCAACCTACATTTCACTCATAGCACATTACTAAATAATATAGATATAATTAAGCTAGATATCATTACTATACATCAAAAAGTTAAGAATGTGTCGTAGAACATCACAAACTTTGCAAGAGATTTTAAACGAATGCCTTATGACAATTTGCTCGTTATCTGAGGTATTAATTTACCTATTATGATATCACATGTTTCTATCCAAGAATTAAGCATCACAATTACATTTCTGTCTAAATTTCGGAGTAAACGAGCCTCTAAATGCGGAATATCCTTAGTAATTTTTTCAAGACCTTGGCATGTTACTTGAGTCTGAATTTCATATTTCCTCATGTGAAAGGAAGTCTAGTATGTGTTGATTTATGTCTATTTTTAAGGGCTTGTTCATGTTGCTTTTATAGGAGGATTTCGTATAGTGCACCTAAGGCACTGATATATGGCAAATGTTAGAGTATGTGGGCATAAGGCTTCATTATAATTGTTTTTTTACTATTGTAGAGTGTTGACCATGAAAAGTCAATATAAAATGTATTTAGGACTTGTTGTAAATGCAAAGTGTCAAATATAAATGTAAAAGTCTTGGTTGTAAAACTAGATTTATTATTATTTTATATAATCTTACTTTATTTATTAAATGTAAATATTTAAAAATTTTAATAAGAAAGTTAAACATCTTGCCTAAGTTAAATCCCGTCTAAGTTTTAAAAATCCCGTCCGTGGCTCGCAAGCCGGCTTGAGCTCATTTAGAGTGGGACGAGCTCGCCTTTTGAGCTCGAGTTTAAGCCAACTTTCTAACTAACGAACCGAGCTCGATAAGGCCACAACTCGAATCAACTCGACTGTAGAGAATTGCCTCTGTAGGGATCATTGAACCTAGTTTGACATAAACCCTATTTTAGTTCGCTAGAGTATGGAAAAAAAAAATTTCAGATGTAGATAAAGCTTATACATTGTTAATTTCATTTTCAAAACAATAAGTAAATATTGTTTTTATCTTTTGAAATGAATTTAATATTTCATATGCTGAATTTGATTATGAAAATAAATATTATTTTTATTTTTGAATTGATGGTACGCATTAGTCTGTCTTTCAATATGGCTTAATGTTATCTTTGCATATTTGATTAAAGAAATATAAATCAAATTAGTGGTACATTAATTTTGTCCACGTTGAGAAAATAATTTTTTAAAATGGTTTCAAATAGTATCTTCCTAGTAGAAAAATATTTCGAAATCAATGAAAAAATTGTAACTAAAAAGAAATTGTGGTTAAAAGCAAAATAATAAGAAAGTTTTTCCAAGTAAAGTCTAAGTCAATATGTTGACTAGGCATTCTATATCTAAGAACGAAATTATAGAATTAATGAAAATTATGTTAATTTTGACCCAAGATATTTTCATAAATTGATCAAAAATAAAGTAAGCCAAAAAAATAAGATTTATCCAAGAGACCTGAACTTCTAGAAAAAACATATTTTTTATAATTTATTTTTAATTAATATTAAAAACTCATCATTAAAGAAATTTAATTCTATATTATATTTCTAGATCTAACAATGTAGAAAAGTTATATAAAAATTAATCAAAATCTCATTTTAAAATTTTAAAATTTCAAATACCTTTTCTTAGTATTTTCTTTATTTGTCTTTCAAAATTTTAATTTAAGAAATAAATGCATCTATAACCGTGTGGCATGAAATGGCAGAAGATGATATAAATTTCATTTAAATGTCATTACAAATAAAAGAAATATTAATTTATTGTTTATTGGCTTTATCTTCTTAATCTAAAAAAATAAGGAAATGATTGATATAAATTTTTAAAATCATGGTATAGAAATATTATTTTTCAGTAAGAATATCTTATTCATATTCTTTAGTCAAATTCTACTTGGGGGGCGGCCAGTAGCGAAGTAGCCTAGTAGGACTATAGGTCGTGATTTAAATCTCCTCTAATTTAAACACTTCAACCATTTTTCTTGGCAGTTGGAAAACTGCAGCTAAAAGGCTTTGTAACAAACAACAACTACGGCGGTCTTGCAACGGTTTTGGAACCATTGCAGCAATTTTAGTTTAGGTGAAAATCGCCGCTAAAGCCAAGTTTAGGTGATGCCAAAGCCTTTTTTATTCATGTAGTGAGGTGGTGACAACCTATGTGAAAAAGAGAAAAGGAAGTGAGAAATGAATGTGATGATAGAGGTCCTGAGTCCTGACCTAAGTGGTGCACATCATTGAATAATTTGTAGGTTATAATGATTAATCAATGGATTATCCCTCAATAGCCAGCCAATCAAAAATATTTATGGATGGATTGTCCACCTATGTTCAAACAATAAAAACAGCTACTATTCATAGATAATTCATTGGCATTTCTAATAAAAAATACGTTCCATTATTGGTTAATCTTCTGATATTCACAACTCCTCTTTTTTTCTCTCTCTTACAATAATAGCAAAAGAAAAGTTGGCTTCCTCCAACTTTGGTTCCTCCAACTTTGGTTCGAAGCAAGTAATAAAATAAATTTAGGACTTATTTGAGACAGCTTCAGCTTTTAATAAAGCTGATTGTAAAATTGTCGTAAAGAAAACAACTTTTATGAAATTGCACTTCCTAAGAGCTATTGTATACATCACTATCAGAATGAATTTCAAGATGATTTTATCCCGTGCTAAAAACTTAGTTGATTTTATATGAGAATTCCAAATGTCACTTATCAATCTTTATGATATCTTATTTTTGTGTTGATTTATCTCATCTAAAAGTATAAAAATGAATATTCTAATATTTTTCTTCATGTGAAGAAACATCATATGATAGAGAACTAAAAAAAAGTAATTTTAACCTATCTTGGTGAAATTTTTTGCCAAAATTCAGCCAGATGGTTCCCCTCTTTGATAGATGAGCATTTTGATTATCATTCTTTGATAAGTGCTAATAACATTGAAAATTTAGCCGAATTCTCTAACATAAGTATTAAAATTACTTTTTTTATCATTATTTTGTTTAGGTTTGTAATTTAAAAAGTGAAATCATGCTTTGTTAATAATTTCAAATATTTAATGTAAAAAAGATCGTCTAAAATTTTTGCCCATTGTAGCACATGTTTGCATGTTGGAAAGAGGGAGGGTGTTGACTCCTAAAAAATATTCATTGGTGAAAATTTTGCTTTGACTTTCTTAGTTGTCATGTACGGCTAAGCCCAATTGCCAATAGCTAAATGGACTTTTTTACGAGAAATTATTGTGAACGCAATCTGAACGTGTTCGGATGTGCGTACACACTGCTTATTTTGTTGTGTATTTTTTGAGACATAATTTTTTCGTGACAAATAAATAGCAAATAAATAATACTAAAAAAATACGCAAAAAATACGTAGAGAACACAATGTATCAAAAAATACGCAGTGAAATAAACAGTAAATATGCAGCATCCGAACACAATTCTGCGTTCGGATTGCGTACACAATAATTTCTCTTTTTTTACACGGCTCTTTTTTGTCGATTGATTATGAGGTTTGACTATCAATGAAGAGGTCATGGATTCTGAGTACT